AGTATTTTATATCATATGTTGGTGGAAATAGTCCTACATGAGCAAGCCTAGACTTCAACCACCATCATTAGTACCACCAAAGAATAAAACATGGAAAAAATATAGCTAGCATCAACATTGTGTATTCATTTTGATGGATATCAAAAGAAATAGGTACCTTCTTAGCAGTGCTACGTTATTGTGACCAACATTAAGGGTAGGTATTCCCAATAATATCGGCTATAATTTATTCTCATCCGTATTTCCTTCATCTAACCAAAAATGAAAATGAATTGAAATCCAATGAAAAAATGATTTCATGATTTCCAACCATCCGAGCATATCTTCATCATGCATCAACTTTAAAGTATTCATTTTATTTTTGTAACTAATTCCATATTTTCTCATAAGCTCAATCTTACTCTAGATATCAAGTCAAAAACATAATAATCAAAATAAAGTAAAATATGGTGTGTGTGTGTGTTGGGTGCGTGTGTTGTGTGATGTGTGTGGTGCTGTAGAGAAGACAAAAAAGAGAGAGAGAGAGAGAGAGAGAGAGAGAGGGAACCTGAATCGCTGCTGCTCTCCATAGTGGTGGGTTACTGGCCGGCGTGAGAGTGGTGGGTTACTGGCCGGCGTGAGAGTGGTGGGTGGCTGTTCGAGCAAATAGAGAAGAGAAGAAAAAGTGGAGAGAGAAGAAAGAAGGATTAGATTAGAAATGAGAGAATGGGGAAGAGAAATTTGGGTGACCGGTAGAGGAAAGAGTGAAAATTGGAAAAGCGCTTGACAAGCGTGGTGCTCCAGGCATCTGTGTATTGGGGTGTGCAGGTGAGGGGGCAGTGTAACGTTAAGAGGGAGGTGATGAGTGTGATAAGATGGTTTTTTTTTTTTTTTGGGGGGGGGGGGAACTGTGTGTAGGATAAAATTTCAAACTCTCTTCTGTTTTATTATATAGATTTTCAAGCTCTGAGCTCCGACATATAAATCTAATTTTCAAGAAAAATACCTTGAAATTGACTAGAACAATCAAGTTGTCAATCTATTTTACGGTACCGGAGCAGAATAATTTGCCACAAAGCTAAACCAAAATTCACGCACAAATATCATACTCAATTCCAAGTAAATTCAAGAAAAATTCTACTTTTAATTGCTAATTGCTCAATTCAATTGCAAAAATGAAAAGAAATGAACCAAAATGAACTATGCTAAACATAAAGTATAAAGTATGATACCCATATTAAGAAATTTTATTTTCTTTCCCAAAAACTATTATTGTCGATCCCTTCATGTAACCCACTACAATCACCAAAAAAATAAAGTAATCTGTCCAATTCAACATATTAATATTCCAAAATCCCAATCGCATTACCCACAAAGCAATCTATCCAATACAAAATGTTCGTTGTGGTTGTTCACAACTCTTTGAGAAATTTCATCTACCAATTCGGTGGCGTAAAACGTTCATAACAAAGATTTAAAGCCTTTGAATTACATCCTATTTCACTTTCATCTTTAATTCTTTTTTAACATATACATCCTATTTCACTCTAACATAGATCAAATCAAGACCTCATAAAAACCTATTTCATACTAATTAACACACAATCTCTAAAATTATGGAAGTAAAATAAATTAACACATCTTAATCTAAATAACCCTAACATTCATCAAATCAAGACACTATAAACTTATATCATAATTAAAAAAAGAATAAATTGAAAAAAATAACATTCAAAAACCCAAAAAAAAATAAAAATTGAAATATAACATTCAGTTGTGGGTTTGTTTGTGTGTGTTGTGTTGTGGGTTTGCTCTGTGTGTGTATGTGTTGTGAGAGAGAGAGAGAGGTGTACCTAGGTGATGTAGTGTGTGTTTTGTGTGCTGCTGCTGTGTGTGAGTGTGTGGGTTAGGTGTTATCTCTATATCGATTAATTGTGTTTGTGTGTTGTGAAATTAGTGGGTGACGTAGTGTGTATGTTTTGTACCTCTGTTGTGTTCTGTACCTGGGCTGTTGCTGCTCTCTGTGTGTGTGGGTTAGGTGTTATCTATATATCGATAGAGAGAACCCCTTCTTCGTCTGAGCCAACACCAGAGAACCCCTTCTTGCCTAAGATCACCAAAATCACATATGCACGCTGAAATCTCGACCACTCAAAATATAATTTATCAAACACTCATCTAATTTATGCACGCTAAGTCAAGATCTTTTGGGGGAATTTTGTCGAATAGTTTATAGGCCATCGTTGACAATGCCATTTTGAGCATGAGAGCGAGAGCGAGACAGAGAGAGATAGAGAGAGGGAGGTTGTGGAGATAGGTGTGTGTCTCAACGAATCGACCATGTGTGTTGTGCGTGGGTGTGATAGATGGGGTTTGGGTGTGAGAAGAGAGAAGGGGAGAAAACGGGCTTTACTGGCTTGGTCGACATCACTGGGAGTGTGAAATGGGGTGGAGAGAGAGAGTGAGAGAGGTGTACCTGGCCGACGAAGGTTGTGTGTCCATATTAATTACATGATTTTTTATGTTTTTTTGATCAATATTCAATTTTTTAAAATTGCACAATGCCTTTAGGCATGGATAATCGCTAGTACTATGATTATCAATTTGCAATAGACTATCAAAAGGCTAAATTTACTTGAAGTAATTACCAATAGGAATATGTTGCAGCAAATATTGAGAAAATCTTCGCGCTCACTGTTGTGATGGTCAACGCCTTTAACAAAACCTGAAATAAAAAATAAAAAGTTAAGAAAAAGTGTTGGCAAAAATCAAAACATAGAAAACTCGCTAAGTAACCATTCAACCTTTACCCAAAAACGTGAGAGCGATGTTGAAACTCTTAAGACAACTGATAAAGTAACATTTATTTGCTCTTTGAATAGATTAACATTTTGTGAAAAATAATAATGAGAACTTCGCCTAATTATTCGGAACCAAAAGATACGAAACCATTCAGCTCCAAATGTTTGTGCACCAAATAATCAATTCAAGCAAAAGAAATGCAATCATAAATCACAAAAATCACAACAAATTGAACCTATTACAAAACTCACATAAAATCAAACCTACTTACAAAACTCGGTGCAAATTGTACCTAATGCTAACCTAATAACAAAAGGTCTCAATAAGGTGTAGTTTTATGAATGCATGGAAAAACAAATAAATTGGTGGACAAATATAGATACTACATTGCATGTCTGGCAATTAACCTCAAAAATATCTTCAAGAATCCCAAATAATTATTAATAAGGAAAAAAATTTCTCAAGCAGCATTACATGGAAGACATAACCACCACCAAGTTTATAAAAAATAGCCAACATATGCTAGAAAACAAAACCACTCTCAAGCAATACAATAGTAGCTAACCTTGATAGTTGAATGGGCAGGAATGTTTAGATAGAATTTCCTCTAAAAATAGTATACCAAAAAAGTTAAACCTGTATACACGATTCATAAGCACCAAATAGGACACACAATCACGCCACAGACATCAAAACGAAATCATTTATTAAAAATCGTCACAACATAAATGAATTCCTTAAAGACAATACATGATTACCAATTACATTCAATTTATAAAAAGTACAAAAAGTTAAACAACCGACTAAAAAACTAAATTCGATTAAGTACTCTAATTTCAATTCTAGAATAACATATTCCCAATCCAATGTATGTGCATTTAAATACAACTTTCGAGCAAAAGAATAATAGCAATCAATAAAATTAGGAGCTTTTAGGGTGGGGTGTATGGATTTTCAGTTGGGACATGTATTCAGGGAATCAAATGCGGTAGCAGATTGTTTGGCTAATAAGGCATTCCAGGACAGATTTTCCACTGATCTATCTGGTTCTGTGCATCTGCCTGCTGTGGTGAGGGTGCTGCTGATGCAAGATCAAAGGAGTCTCCCTGCCTTGAGAGTTAGAAGTCTGTTGATTGACAATTATGGGGAAGATGCAGGCTGCTCAGTTGCTTGGTGACCTGCAAGCTTCTTTCATTCTTTTTAAGAACCAAAATTAACAAAGGTTTGTATCGGGTCAAAAACAGAAATAAAAATAAACATAAATCAATACAAATCCATTGTTTTGACCTGATACAAAATACAAAGGTTTGACCCGACCCATTGTTTACAAAGAACCACTTTTTGAGCTATGAAATCAATACAAATCCAATTGCTTGGAAGTTGGAGTCTTTCCAATGTATTTTCTTCTCAAAATAAAAAGTATTCTCTAGCTTGGAAGTTGTGATATGAGCTCTTGTTAAAGCAAGAGAAATGCAATTCCAAATCCACACAATACCTCAATTTCAATAAAACTCAACAAAAGTTAATTGAAACATAATCTCAACACATCATACCTACAAAAAATGGGAACACATTTACCGATCAAAAGAAAAAAGAATTGTGGAGTATACAATATTTCTCTTAGGCATCAACACAAACACTTGACGCCCATTATGATTGACAGCAAATCAACACCTAACTAACGACTTTTGTGTATGCTATTTCAATTTGTGGGTATGTGTATTTATGTGTGCTCTGTGTGTATTTGTGCGTGTTGTGTTGTGGGTAGGGGGTGTGTGCTATGGGTGTGATGAAGACAAAGAAAGGGCTAGGAGATATGAAGAGGGCGAGAGAATGAGAAAGAGAAATTACCATCAAACTTGGACTTAAATATAATAAGAAATTTATTGCCCAGTATTTCTATATGGCATTTCAACAAACACTTCATATGCTATATGATTGGAGCTGTGGGCATAGGTGTGGTCTGATAAAAGGGGTGTGGTCGAGGTAGTAGCCAAAGATGGAAGAGAAAAAAGGAGAGAGAGAGAGAGAGAGAGAGAGAGAGAGAGAGAGAGAGAGAGAGAGAGAGGAAACATACCTGGAGAGTGAGAAAAGAGTGGTGGTGGCTATTTTGGCGTCGTCGCTGCTGTTGGGGCTGATGCGGGAGAGAGAGAGAGAGAGAGAGAGAGAGGAGGTGGTGATTAAGGGGAGGGAGAAACACAAAGAGGGGAGGAGAGGGGATGGTGTTTGCGCAGAAGAGGCTGGGGGAGGGTGTTTGCGCAGAAGAGGGGACTCGCTGCCAGTCCGGCGTGAATGACAAAGTGTGTGAGAAGTGAAGACTGAGATGAGAGAGAGATAGAGGAGATCAGTGTTGCCAGGGAGCCGTTGTATCTTATGTATTAACTTATGTATCTTCTGATGGATTAACTTATGTATGTATATTATTTTTATCTTTCAATTTTTTTCATTAATATTAAATATAAAAAAATTAATCATTTTCACCGTTCATCCATAGAAAAAAAAAAATATATCATTCATAATTTTTCAGGAAATAAAAAATATATTTGTTTTACTTTTCATATTTTCTACCGACCCGAGCACTAGTCTCGTACACAAAACTAGCCATGAGGTGGAAATTTTTTTTTTTTGGGTGGGGGTTTAGTTGCACAATTCACAATTAAGGGAAGTAATGCATAAATGATCAATAGTTTAGGGGGTATTGTGTAATTACCTCTTTTTAACGAGAGCAAAACCATTAATGATAAAGTTAATTTCATTTCTTTAATTATTCTTGATTATGTTTTTGACACCCAACTTTTTTCCCCCTTTCCTCTTTCAATTACTAGTGACGAGCGCACAACTGCAGTCTGCAGCTTAGAGTCGTTCGGTTGCGCTGCTCAGTGCTCACTCTTTCTGTCACAGGCACTGGTTTTCTGAGAAGAGTTCGAGACTCACTTTTGATTCGGCGGGTTAGGGTTTAGCCTCTGTTCGGACTTGCAATTTCTCGTACAAAATGAGGTAGAAAATATACATTTCAAGCTATACAACATTTCCTTTTCAATTCTCTGCTATGGTTTCTGGATGAAAATGAATTATTCTGTTGGGTTTTCCTTATCACTTGAAATTAGTTCCTTTTTGTTACAAAAATCATTGCATCTTCCCTAATCTCTGGCCGTGTTAGGGTTTACATTTTTTCTGTTGCTTTCTATCACATAACCCATTTCTATCACTAGTTGAATTATTTAATTTTTTATTAATTTGTGGTTTAATACAATTTTTATTTCAGTCATTGTTCACACACAATAATATACACATGTTGATACTTTTGAGGTCATGTATTTTGTGTAAATTGTGTCAATTTTTGGAAAAAAAAATTGTTATTGGTTATGTTGATATCAATTTTTTGGACATTCGAATTTTATGTTGTATCGTGGCTCCAACATGAGTTATGGCTAGTAGTTCTATCTATACATCATTAGTGTACATATAGACATATACAGATATTCATGTATGTCACAGATACAGGTATATGTGTGGCTAATTTGTCTTTGCGTACTTATGTATGGATAGCTATTTATAGCACATGTGAAAATGGAACTTGGGAGAAGTTTGGACCTTCTTTTGTCTGGCATTAGTTAAAAAGTGCTGATTGTTTCTGTGTTTTCACCAGAAGCTGTTGGGATCCCCCTTTTTTTCACTATTTTTTTTACATTTAATTATTAGAGCTATGACACAGTTGATATAATATATGTCATTATGCAGTCGCCATCCAGAGGTTCTTTGGGCTCAACGCACTGATAAGGTTTACCTGACTATTGCTTTGCCTGATGCAAAAGATATTTCGGTGAAATGTGAGCCACAGGGTTTGTTTAGTTTCTCTGCTGTGGGTGTGCAAGGTGCACCCTTTGTCTTCAGTATAGAGCTTTACGGAAAAATTGTACCTGAGGTGAGGTTTTGCATTGCTTATGTTGGAACTATTCTTCATTCGCGTGAATTCATAATATTGATTTTTATTCATACAATTCCAATGAGTGATCATTTGCTTTACCTTTTTCAAGGTCATTTATTTTTATCTATTGGGCTAAAATTGTAATCCCAAGAGTTAGGGAAAATGGAGGCAAGCCAGAAATTTGTTGATTATATGCTTTTCCTCCAAAATTGGCATTATTATGTCAAAGAAGATTGACATGCCTTCGGATACCAAGAATCAATGGCCCTAAGGGGTGTTTGATAGAACTGAAAATTAAGTATTGATAATTGAAATCTGAATTTTAAGTACTAAATGCTGAATTTCTTAATCTAGTAACTGTTTGCTATACACTGAAATTTAAGAATTGAATTAGATCAAACTATTTGTTGAATACTAAGAGCTGAAATTAAAAATCATTAACTTTCTAATTTTGCCATTCAACTCTTTTTTTTTTGAAGTCCTTTATTAAACATCTATACTTACCTAATAGATAACCATGGCATATCAATAATAATATAATTCTGAATGAATTATTATCCTAACACTATCCTAACAATCTCAACAAAATTACCATGCAGGTCCGGAAGGAAACCTTCATCTTAACTCATAGCAGCCCCTAGGAAGCTTAGAAGGGACCTCTAATCTGTTGATTTAAAAATCCAACTGGCATTTACCTTAAATTCTATGGCAATGTCCAGAGTCACAATTGTTAATTAGTTGCAGTGGCAGGAACACCTAGGGATGGGTATCTCATATTGTTTTGCAAATTTTATCATCCTAAACACTAGGACTCATGCAAGAAGGTTTTCCTCCGGACTTCCTATATAGGTATAGCCAATGTTGTGTAAAGCGAGTTTAGAGCACCTAGGCGAGAAGTGAAGCGAAGCGAGCCTTAGTTGTCTTAAACATCTCACGCGAAGTAAGGTTAAGTAAAGCGAGAAAAAAACGAACATCGGCGACGAAGCGAAGAAGCAAGTCAGGCGATAAAAGGGAACGCCTGACTGCAGTTTTTTTATTTTCTCCTTCCCCCTCCCCCTCCCCCTCCCCCCTCCTCCTCCTCCTCCTCCTCCTCCTCATTCTTCTTCTTCTTCTTCCTTAAGATTAACTAAACTCTAGCAGAGATGATGTTATATGTGTATATTTATAAAATAAATTAATTGATTTATCTAATAGTATCATGTAAACAATCTGTCTTATTATGATTAGATAATGTTGAATGTTCTATTTTGTTGTCAATGCTCTTGTTAATCAATTTACTTGGTTAATCAAATTGATTAATCAATTTGTTATATGCTCCATTTGATTAATCAATTTGTGAGTACTCTGTTTAGTAGGGATATTAATCAATCATGGTGGAAGTCGAACCTACATTTGCCAGTTTTACATTTAGATGACGTGATTATGTCAATTAATTATTTTTAGAATGCAATAATGTTCAATATTTAATATCTTTTCTATTTAAAATATGTTGATGTTTATTATTTTGGTTGTATTTAAATATTTTGTATTTGTAAAGTTAACACTTGAATATTTAGGAGTAATCACAGTATTAAACTACAATATTTGCTTATTTTTTATATTATTCGCTTTGCTTTGATGAAGCATTCGCTTCGCTTCGCTTCTCGCTTCTCGCGTAGGTCTTTAGGAGACCGGTTCGCTTCGATTCGCTTTACGCCTTAAATAACACTGGGTATAGCTAAGATCCCTGCCTCATTATACCAAAACTTTGTTGACAAGTTTAGAGAAAAGAAGAATAGTGTTCTCTGCATCATCTCTGAAATTGCTTCCAGCTCCAGTTTGGCTTGGGTCTTTAAGAGAACAACCATCAAAATGAAGTTGATTTTTGCATGGTTGTAGGCTTTCATCATACCAGGAAACTTCCCTGTTTAGGGGATTGAAGGTATAGCCATCCAGTGGGTCATGATAACATTCATGTGTATCACCTTGAAATCTTTGGTGATGGATACCTCAATGATGATACTTTCCTAGAGCTCTTCATCGCACGAAGTATGACCTTGAAAAATTCTAGAATTCCTTCAATCAAAGTGATTAAAATTATATTCAAATGGCTCAACCTTAGAGTCGTGGTTTTCTTACTACTACTTCTGTGGCTAAATGTTCCAAAATGTCTCTAAAGCTGGAATACTCAACTTGGTTAGTGTTCAATGCTGAAAAACTCATCAGTAATCTCTTTGATAAGTAAAATTATATCACTAAAGCTGCCAAAATGAGAGCGTTGCATTTTGGTTGGCGCTGTAATGTGTTATGCAATCGATCAAACCTGCTAATGCTTTTATTTAGTTTGGTGTGGTTACTATTAGAGTTTTTTTGGGGGGCTGGTGGGGGGTAAGAACTGAGCAAAAACCTATCCACAAGTTTTTAGGGAGATCATTGGTCCTTCAAATCTTATTAGCAAGGAAAAATGGAATGAAATAATCTTTGCAAAAGAGAATTGAGAAAAAGATTTAGTGAAACACCACGTCTCTCATCTGTGGTGGATAGAGAAAGATAACCCTCATTATATAAAACGAGGAAGATGCAGGTTCTGTAACCTCCCAATTACTAAGATTCCTGAAAAGCAAAAGTGCCAACATTACTTGCCAAAAAAAAAAGTGCCAAGGGAGAGTGGAGAACCTCAAAATTGAACAATTGGTGTGTCATGAAGATGAGAGATGTAAGAACATGGCGAATGCATCTTTGAAAGGATGGTCATTTCAATGCGTATTTATCCATCCCCAGCAATGTATCTTGTATGCAGGAAAACCACATTACGTATGTCTGTCCTATCACTTTTGTCCTATTCTTAGCGGTCATGTAGAATATTTTGAATCATCCATGATCTTCTAATTCTCCAATATCTTGGTTCTTTCAAATTGACCAAGCCATTAACCTGAATAGCTATGTCATTTCATAGTAACAAGTGTTCCACTTCTTATGAGTTTTGGGTCTTTCTGCATGGCAATTTAAATGTCTTAGTACAATAGCATCCATGTCATGGATGGTCTTTACTGGACATGTTTGACAAGGTTCTTTGGGTGTTTTTTTTAAATTTTTTTTTGAAAGATACATATTATTCTTTTTAATGGTTGGAATACTATATCGGTGCAGGCTTGTAAAACTAATGTTGGCTTGAGGAACATATTATGCTCAGTCCAAAAAGCAGAGAAAGGTTGGTGGCAAAGACTACAAAAGTCGGAAGAAAAACCTGCTCCTTACCTTAAGGTTGATTGGAACAAATGGTGTGATGAAGATGAGGAGGAGTCAACTGATTGTAAGTTTATGTAGCATGTTATAGATGTGAAGATGATGTGCTTTTCCTTTGTGTAACGTTTGGGAACTGGGCCAAGTTTCGAGGACTGGCATGTAGATTGATCCTTTCTTAGGTTGTGTCCTTTAGGCATCATATTATGATTTTTATCAAGTGCTTTATACATTGTCTTATGCATTACTCTTTTTCTTTAGGATTTGCAAAACAATGGTGTGACAGACTTACCTGTTGGTTGGGATGTTCTACTGGTAGCTCTTAGTTAAATTGACTATGCAGTTGTCTCACCACATGTTTTATCGGGTTTGGTTGGATTTGCGTCTGGCCTTACCTAATGTGAATCTGTGATTGGTCTGGAGCAGCATTTGGGTATTCAAAAAACCAACTGTTTTTGATTGTTCTTATTGTGGAGTTGCCTTTGTTAGTTTGTGCTTATAAAGAAAAGATTGAAAAAAGTTGGATTCTCTCATCTTCC